CACTCACCTCAGCCTCCCAAAGGCGCGGGATTATAGGCTGAGCCACCGAGCCTGGCTGGACCTTGGATTTCAAAGCTCCACGGTGGTTGGGGAGCTCAGTGAGAACAGTTTTGGGGGGTGAGGATGAAGGGCCAAGGCAGGAGAAGGGCGCGAAGAGACTTTGAGAACTGGGCTAGAGAAGAGGGAAGGAGTAGCAGTGGCCACTAAAGAGTGAGAGGACTGTGTCCAGGTCAAGGCAGGGGCCTGCTCTGGGGGGAGGTTTGTGAGTTGGCAGATGAGAGTTGGTTCGGAAGAGGAGATAGGACAGTGGGGAGATGCGTGGTTGACTTCACTGGGCAGGTTGGATGGAATGATAAGGGGACAAGGAAGGGAAAGGGGAGGACAAGAGAATGAGGAAGGAAGTGAAGACTGGAGTGAGAGGGCAGGACAGCTGGGCCGGGACATTCTGAGGTCCAGGCATGGGCACCAGGTGGGTACTCCCAAGAGGGCCGGAAAGCAGGAGCTTGTGCTGAGAGTGTGGGAGCCTGGGGTTCAGATGTCAAGGTGGGGTATAGCTGAAGCTGTGGGTGCTGGGTGGCAGGGACAGTCTCTGGTTTTGCTGAGGCCCCTGGTGATGTACCTTCTCACCCCTTCCCCAGGTGGGTGCCTTTTGAAGCCTTCCCGCAGGAGCGGAGCTCGCTCAGCCTGGTCAGCCTGGTGGGCACCCTCTATGCCATTGGCGGCTTTGCCACGCTGGAGACCGAGTCCGGAGAGCTGGTCCCCACGGAGCTCAATGACATTTGGAGGTGAGCCCAGTCCCAGGGAGGCGAGGGTGGTGTCATGAACAAGACTCACACTTGAGAGCACTGTGGTAGGACACTGAAGCACCTAGCAAGCTCATCTAGGGACAGAATTGGTCCCTCTTCCAAGCAGTCCTGTAGGGAAGGAGTAGTGAGCACTCTGCCCAGTCCCAGTGTCTCACTAGCTTGTTTGGGAAGGTCTGAGTTTGCACATCTGACCCCATGCCCCACTGTGGAGCAGAGGTGGTGTTGCAGACGGAAGATGACCCCAAGCTTAGGGAACAGACCTCTGGAATCAGGGTCCAGGCAGCTGCTGGGACTTTCCTCTCCTGCCTTCTGCGTGCTTGGTTTAGAAGAAGGTCCGAGGCCAGTACTGGGAAGTAGCTGGACCCCAGCTTCTCAAGGTCACTGCTTTCCATGGCTAGCCCTTTATGGGGTAGGGGAAAGAGGCTTCAGCCATCTGGGGTGTCCCTTGAACCTTCAGTCACTCCCAGTGCTGCAAGTCGTCTCTAGGGGGCAGTGCTGCTGGGAGAGTGGGGCTTAGGGGGACTTTCTGGAGGTAGAGTATGAAATTCTCAAGGGGAGAAAATGAGGGTGTGTGTGGAGTGTAGACCTTCCTGGGGGGAGGTGGACTTTGAGGAATGTGGGAATCCCTGAGAAGTGGCCTTTCTCGGGGAGGTGGCCCTTTCTGGAGTGTGGGGTGGGTGTTCTTTGGGGTGGATCTTGTGGGCCTCCTTTCATAGAGCTCAAGAATTTTCGAGGAACAGATCAACCTGGAGATGAGCCCGGGCTGAGGAAACTTTGTGGAGATAGGCCTGTTGCATTCAGCCACCCCTCTGCTAGGTTCTACTCTGGGCTCAACTGACCAGCCTCCCCATTCTTGTCCTCACTCTTCCCTGACCCCAGGTATAATGAGGATGAGAAGAAGTGGGAGGGTGTCCTGCGGGAGATCGCCTACGCAGCAGGTGCCACCTTCCTACCTGTGCGGCTCAACGTGCTGCGCCTGACCAAAATGTGAGCAGCCCAGAGGGCCAGAACTAAGCAGTCCTCCTATCCTGCCACCCTCACAGGCCTTGTGGGGGCTCCAGGGAGGAGACTGGGAGAAGCCAGAGCCCAGGATCCAGTTATGGTGCCTGAGGGGCCGCTTCAGCCAGGGAAGGGAAATTGCTGCCTCGTCCTAGCCTTTCGGGACTAGAAATTAGAGGCTTCTCCAGCATCGCCATATGCCCTCGGATCTTGGTCCATGAGCCAAACCACAGGGAGGTATCCCAGGCTGCGTCCTGGGCCTGCCCTAGCCTGGCTGTGTGTGCCGGTAAAGTTCTCCACAGAACTAAGCCTCCTTGCCTGTCAGACGGGAATATCCCACCAAGTGCCTTACAGCGTGGACAAGTCTCCTTCTTTAAGAAGAATAAAGTGCCTTCTGAGCAAGCCTCTCAGGGTCAGGAATCAGGTGCTCCAAGAGTCTGTGGCCAGGTAGTTTGAAGATCTGGGGCTTCAGTGTTCCACTGTTGGGTTGCCAGAATCAGTGGTCTCTTCCCTCCACATGGTGTCTCTTCCACACTCCATGTGGGACACCTCCCTGAGGCCTAGACAAGGAGCCAGGAGACTACAGGGAGAAGGGGCGGGGACAGTCGTGCTGTGGTAGAAAAGTCTTTATTCTGTTGGTCAGGCCCTATCTGGCCTGACCTGGGCCTGGGGCCTAGGAATAGCCAAGCAGAGCCCGTCCCTCTACCCCCCCCCCCGCCTACTCTGGCTTCTCTTTGTCCTGCTTCTGCTCCTCCTCCAGTGCCAAGGTTCGCTCACGCTCTTTCACCAGCTGGACACCACAGTAGGTGACAAACAAGATGGCCAGGGTGGTCTGGGGGAACCCTGTGTTGAGAAAAATTTGCCCATGCCCAGGAGCAGCACCCATCTCGTGACTCTTCCCATCCCCCTCCCACATTGACTGGCCTTCCCCATGAGTCCTTGGGGTGTTGGGGGAGGGGCATTTCAGAAGGTCACAGTCCTCAAGGTTGATGCCTGGTTCATACTGTGTCCCCACACCCCTATGCCTCACCTGTGAGTATCAGGCGCCGGGCAACCAGTTCTGTGAACTCAAGGCTGTTCAGGCTCACAAGGTTGTACATGATGATGGCCCAGAAGTTCATGGCCCCAAAGAGGGCCCGGACCCTGCGGGACATCTGCTCCGACAGAGAGGCCTGCCCGGTCCAGAAAGCATTGACAGCGGGACAAGAGCCCCAAAGGAAAGAGCACATGGTCGGTCAGCAGCCTCACCCACATGGCCACTCAGATCCTGGGGGTACGTCTAGTTCTCTGAGAGTCCTAGGCCAGCTCTCCCTCATTGTTGAGCATGTGGAAACTGAGGTCAAGAGAGAGGGTAAGGCCTGACCAACACAGCCAGGCCCAGGTACTCCATTCCCCACAGAAGGTAGGGAGGGCCAGGTTCCCGCAGGGTGAGTCATTGTCCTGACAGCCGGGAGGGTAATGGTGAGAGAGTTCTGGACGACGGGCCAAGTGATTGGACAACTCCAGAAAGCAGCAGTGACCCCCCCCCAGCCCCCGTGACCAGCTAATCATAGTGCCAAACCTTCCTGCTCACCTCAATTCGGGCTAGAGGCCCCCACTCTGCCAGTTTCTGCACCCAGAGCTCAAAGTTGAGGCCAAAGCAGTTAAGCAATGACCACAGGTAGACAATGTCACAAGGCCCAAGCCATAGAGTGGTGATGGCAAATGTGGCCACTGAGGCCACCAGCTCTGGGATCACTGCGGAGTGCTCCCCACCAATGTGGTCATACACATACCTGCAGGAAAGAAAGGAGAAGGGGCCAATGGGCGTTTGGGAAGGGGCAGGTATGAGATGGGTGCGGATGCACAATAGGGCAGCCCTGCTCACCACTGTCACCCTGGGCACTCAACATTCCTCACCACTGCACCCTGGGTATCTGTTCCTCCTCTGCTCAACTTCAGACTGCAGAAGGTTCACCCTCAGACATCATATTTTCTCTAGCTCTGTTCATTTACTCCCCAAATGATCTCATCCAGACCCAAGATTTCAAATACTGTCTCTATGCCATGACTCCCAAAACGGTGTCATTAGCCCAATGTCCCTGATTCATATATCCAACTACTACCAGGCATCTCACTTGAATGACTGGTTCCCCCTTCCCTGCCCAAACCCACCCCATTCCCATCTCAGCTAATGGAACCACGATCATTCAGTTGTCAGGCTGTAAGCCTTAGCACCATCTTGGTTTCTCAATTTCCCTCCTCACCTACATCCAAGCAAGCCAGCAAATTCTATTGGCTCCACTGAGTCCTGACCACAGCTCACCGCCTCCACCACCACTACTCTAGTCCAGATGATCTTCTCCTCTCACATAGATCATTACAAGAGCCCCTTGAGTGGCCTTCCCACTTCTGCCTTTGCCCCCACAGTCCATTCTCCACATAGCAGCCAGAGGCATCTCTTAAGAGCATAGCTTAGGTCACATCACTTCCATGATTAACCCCCTCTGTAGCTTATTACAATTGGAATAAACTCAATCTCCTTACTATGGCTAGAAGATCTCCTGTAGCCTGGTTTTTGCTCTCTGCCAGACCTTGTTGTCATCCACCATTCTCCCCCATTCACTGTGTTGGCCTTGTTGATCTTTCTGGTCTTCAGTCACACAGTTCAGGTGTGTCTCAAGGCCTTTGCACCTGTACACTTTGCTTGGAATTCTCTTCCCCAGATCTCCTTATCACTCAAGTCTCATTTCTCAGAGAAGCCTGCCAAAACCCCAACTAAATAAGCTTCTACCCTCTTGCCAGCTTCTATCCCATGACACACTTTATTTTCTTCATAACACTTATCACTTTCTAAAATTATTTATGTGTGTTTACCTGTTTATGGTCTGTTTCTCCCCACTAGACTGTAAGTTCCATGAGTTCAGGGTCTTTGCCATGTTCACTGCTGTATCCCCAGTGCCTAGAACAGTGCCTGGCACATTAGTAGGTGCTCAATAAATATTTGTTAAATAAATTCAGTGGAAGACCCATGAGTAACCAGCCTCTCCATTCCTTGAACATTTTTTTTCTCCATTCCATCTCAGGCACCCATACCCATGGCCACACCCCAACTTTGTGGTCACTTGAAAGTTCACGCCTTCCTAATTTCGACCCTTTGCCCAGACCCTCCTGCCCTCTGTTCCCCAGTTCCAGTTATCCAATCCAATTGATCTTGGGATCCTCCACCTTCACCATCCTGCTCAACAGGTTTATATCCAATGAATCATCACTATAAATAACCTAAAAATCTTTATTCCTCACTTCTTCCTTCTTAGGCATCTGGGAAATCCCAGTAGCCTACTTTCTTCTCGCCTGCACCCAAGCATCTATGCCCTTTTAGGGTAAAATCTCAGATCTTTACACACTAGAATTTATAAATCCACTACCTCCAATACCACCTGGGCTCTCAATGCCAAGTTTTCTCCAAACAGCTGCTTCTCCGAGCTCTGCAATGGCTATTGTGCCCTCACCTCTCCCGCAAGAATGAGTGGGTGTGGTGGGGGATCCAGGATGGGACTTCCCTCCAGGCCCCTAGCCCTGCATCTCAGCAGATGCCTCCCACTACATGGAGAAGGCCGAAGCCTTCAGGTGGAATCCCCTACTTCTCGACGCAAACCTGCCATCCTTCTCCATCCACACTGGCTCCTTTTCCTCCCTCTCCTCCTGAAGCCAGGTCTCTGCCAGAACTGGATGCTGTCACCTCCTCCCTCCTCAGGGACCTCACTCCGCCAAACCCCTCTGTCCTGCACCACCAGCGTCTCTGTTAAGGGATTCCCTTCAGTATGTCCCATTAGCTCCTCTCTAACATGCTTCTCCCTCAGCCACTCCTCTTTCTCCCACAGCCCCAGCTTCTTCCAGGAGCCATCCACAATCCCCCGCATTTCTCCAGCTTCCTCTTCTCTTCACTGGCCTCTGTCTCCCCAGTGAACAGCTGGAAATCTCCATGTCACCAACACTAAGCCTCAGCCTCAGCTTCCCTGAGCCTCAGCAGCATCTGATCCAGCTGCCCCCACCACGCCTGGACAGCGGGTCACACGGCCTGATTCTCCTGCTTCTCTGACCACTCCTTTCAGACTCTTCTGCTGGCTCTTCCTTCTCCTTCCAATGAGAGTCCTTGCAGACCCAACCTCAGCCATCCCCTCTCTTCTCACTCTACTTTCTCCTTAGGACTTATCCCTACCCAAGACCCAAAGACCACTCTCCCATGCTCATGATGCTCAGAGTGCCATCTGTTCTCCACACTTCTCTGAAACCCAGACGCTCAGATCCAACCACCTCCCTGAATCTCTGTAAGATGCCTCTTATATCCCTTAAACTGAATCCCTCTCTGGAAACGGCCCCTCCTTCCTCCCAGGCTGTAGATAGACATTTGGAAGCCATTTCCCTCTCCTTCCAGAGCCCACACTCCACGGCCAAGTCCTGTCCAAGATGCCTGCTGTGTGTCTACTCTCACCACCTCTCTCCACCTCCAGGGCCCTCATTCAAGTCCAAACCTCCATGCCTGTCATCAAGACCTCCGCCATCACCTCCTCACTGCCCTCCTTGCTTCCTCTGGCCCAGGGGTGATCTTTAAAAATGTGGACCAGTCTGGGCATTGCCTGCTCAGACACCCAGCAGGATGGCCGTGACCACCTGGCCCCACCCCAACTCACTTGCAAAGCCAGTCGTTGATGCCACGGTCGAAGTGCCTGTGAAGGGAGAGCAGGGGCTGTGAGTCCTGCAGGTCTCCCAGGCATGTGTGGGAAAGAAGCTAAGGGAAGACGGGGGTCCCGGGGGCGAGCCTCCCTGGGCCACACTCACGTTTCCCCGAAGACGTAGAGCGCAGTGATGCACTTGGGAGGCTGGGGTGGGTCCAGGTGGTCGAGGCGCGCCACGGTGTTGACGACGCCAAAGAGGACAGCCGCCTTCACCCAGTCATACACCAGATTTGAATAGGCTAGACCAGCTGGGGACAGGGTGCCGTCACTGCCTGGGTTTGGACGCCCATCCCTACAGAGACCTCATCATGCCACTTCCTGGGGGAGACGCATACACTACCCGCCCTATAGCAGACCCCATCTAGGTTGTGGAATCAGTCACACCCAGGGAAGTGGGGTAGCCTGTGCAGAACACTGCTCTGACTCCATGGGACAAAGCTAATGCCAAGTCCCACACATGTCAAAGAATAAGTCCCTGCTCTCCCAACTTAAGTGCTGTGTTCTGGAGACCCAGCTTCCCCAACTGTGACATCACGGGAGTGCAGAAGGTCTCTCTTTCTGGGGTGGCAACCCAGTCCTGGTCCCTGTTCTGGGGACCCACCAAGGGCGCTGTCTGGGAGGCGGTTGGCGAACTTGAGGTCACTGGGGATGGTGAGGATGTAGAAGAAGTGAAAGAAGACGTCCACGGCAATGATGGTCACTACACTGAGGCCCGCCTGAGCCCGGATGCGCCACAGCTCGCCCTCAGGCCTCACTGGCTCCACCTGGCTCACCTGGGGGGATGTGAAGTGTCTGAGGGGAGAAGCAAACCCTGCCGGAGGACCCCTGTCTGAGTGGGGAGTCACCAGAAGCTTGGGGGTGGAAGGAGACATGGCTTCATCCAGGAGTCCTGCCCGAGGGTGGAGACACAGGTCATGCTGGAGTCTGGGGAGGATTCACCGCCAGCCGGGGGAGACCTGACTTTGTCTTAAGAGCCCCATTTGAGCGGGAGGGGAACATCCATGGCCTGGAAGTCCTCTCCAAGGGAAGTGACATGTCTTCAACCTGTGAGTCCCACTGGAGGGGGAAAGGCGGCCCCATCCTGGGGTCTGAGGAGGAAGGGGAGACATAGCTTCATCCTGGAATTGTGCCTAAGGATGGGGCCACAGCCTGCCTGGGGAGTTCTGAGATGGGAGCCCTGTCTGAAAAGGGAGATCCAGCCCTGTTCTGGAAGTCCACAGGGTGTCCCCTCACCTGGGCATGGAAGCGATCAAAGGTCATGATGGGCCCGAAGAAGAAGAAAGGCAGATAGAAGTTGTACTTGAGCAGGTCAGCTAGGGAGTAGTGGCGGTCAGGGTGGGCACAGCTCTCCAGCGCAAAGCTAGTGCAGCGCAGCACTGTGAAGCCGCTGCCTCCGTGAAACAGCACCTCTTGAAGATCAAAAGTGCCTGTTACAAACCCGCTCTGGAGGGGAAAGAACAGGCCACCAACTCACCACGGTGCCTCTAGCTCCACAGAGTCCCAGCCTGGTCCTGCCCCTTCCTCTTTTCCTGAGCCAGTTAACACTGGCCTTTGCTCTAGACAATGCAATAGAGCAGGGGACAAGCTGGACACGGTCCTGCGGTGCAGGTGACCTCCATGTAGACAAAGCATCCTCAAAGGTTTGAAGACAGGTGGGAAAGTGAAGGAAATGTCTGGGGACACCGGAGAAGCAATGGCTTTGGGTGAAGTGAGAGGTTTGGGATCCTATCCCTGTATCCTGTACCTCTTTTCCAGTGCATACCTGCCAAGAGATGAGGGGGTCCATCTTGAAGGAGGCCAGGCTGGCCAGGCCGAGGCCGAGACAGAGCCAGTGCTGACCCAAGAGTGAGGCCACATAGAGGCCCACACAGTGGCCAAGCATCAGCAGCAGGTACCAAGGGCCCATCGTGCCCACCACAGCCAGGACCCCGTACACAGCATACATCCAGGAGCGGAGCTGTGGACAGGGAGAAGACTTCAGTTCACCTATCCATATAAAGGGGGTGGGACCCCGGGATAGACTTCCCACAACTCTCGTGGCAGGGGAGGCTGGGCAGCCCAGGTCCAGCTCACCTGGGGGGCAACCATCGTGCAGAGTTTAGCAAACAGCACATGTCCAGAGAGAGCGAAGACGATAACATTTCGGAAAGAGGTGAACCACATCACCCACTCGAAGTCAGCCACATCCTGGGGCATCAGGAGCAGGAGGTGGTGGGGCAGGTTAGGGCTTGGGAGGGAGCAGGACGGGGCGGTACCTGGGCCCAGTACCTCCCCGGCCTCATGTTCTTATGTGTGAGATGAGAACAGTGGCACAGATGCCTGCGTTCCCCTCTGAAAAAGCTGCCAGGCAAGCAGAGAGGGATGAAGGGTGCCACAGGGGCTGCCTCACCCCTCAAAGCCCCCCTCTACTCAGCACGTTGCCTGGCATTGCACCATGACTGCTATGTTCCCAGGAAGGGTGGTGCTGCAGGCCCCTGCTGAAGCACACACGACTTAGGTGACCCATTTCCTAAATGAGCAGAGCCCGGGCAAGATGGATGCCCCAGGAAGACACAGGAAGGGCCAGTGGAGAAGCTGTTACACGAAAACATCTGGAATAGCAGAGACGGGGGAAGCATTTGGGATGCGAGAGATGTGCCAGGGGTCAGGGATCCCAGGCAGGGACCTTGGGATGGGGGGACCTACCATTTTCCGGCCAATGTACTCCCAGCCAGGTCGCACAGACTCCCGGAAGGCCTTCCTGTGAGCCCCATCTGAGAACAGAATGTGGCTTCAGGGAGAGGAGCCCTCACATCCCCTCCCTCCCCACCCCCCATGGACAATGCTGCCCCCGCCCTGGGGAGAGGGGAGTGGGAAGATGGTCTGGGTCTCTCATTGTGCATCTACTTCTCTCTGGGTCTTACTGTGTGTCTGGGTCCAGATCTCTGACTGTACTGTGTGTGTGTGTGTGTGTGTGTGTGTGTGTGTGTGTGTGTGTGTGTGTGTGGGTGTGTCAGTGCCTCTGCATCTCTGTCCCCCTGTGACTGCACCTGGCTCAGCCCAATCCTTAGAGCCTAGGGAGTCCCTGGGTCTGGAGCCTACAAGTTTCTGGCCTTGCTGGTTGGAACCCTGTGGCCACCAGGGGAAGAATGGCCCCACCCCCTGCCCCAGGGCCCCCCTGTTACCTTGAGAAGCCTCAAGGAGGCCCCGGCCAGCATAGGCCAGGGCCCCACTCAACACCAGGGAGTAGAGGCCCAGCTCAGCTGCAGGAAGTGCTGTCTTGATGCCCATAGCCTGGACAGGGCTGGGGGAGACAGGCTGGGTGAGGGAAATGCAGCTTCCAGCACTGCCTAGCCCCACCTCATGATCTCCTGCTGGGGCGGTGGGGACCCACATTGAAGAGAGACTGCCTCTTGGGGACTTGTGCCATTACTTTCCCTGCCCCTGTGCTCCCTACACCTCCCAGGCCACCCAACCCAGGCGCCCCATCCTAGCTGCTGCTGTCACTCCCAACCATCCCGTGCAATGCTCTGGAGATACAGTCTTAACTCACAGTTGGCCCCCTCACCTTTACGTACTCCTTCATGCATTTCAGGGGGCCCCACCCTCTGCCAATACTCCTGCTAGGGCCCTCCATGACCTTCGTGTGGAGAAACCCATCTCTATCACCTCAACCTGGTTTCTGCCCCCAGGGTCCCCACATTCCTCAGAGAGCCTCCCTCAGCCCCAGGCCCCTCCAAGACCCCTTCTCTGACTCCCACTCCCCTCCCTGAGCTGCCTCTTCTGCACTGAGATCCCATATCCTTCCCAGGTTCTCCCCTAGAGCCAAGCCCCCATTCCTCTCATTGGGCCTCCAGCCTCTCATGGACCCCATCCCCCTAACAAGCCCCTGAGCGCCAGCCTGCCACACCCTTAGTCCCTGCCTGTGTCTGTGATCACACTGTCCCACCTTCTCAGTGCTCCGTGTATTTGGGCCCTGGGTGCTGGATGGAGGCTGTGCTATTTGAGGAGGTGCCTGGGGAAGCCGGTGCAGGCCGGGCCAGGCCAGGCAGGCACCGGGGAGGGCGCTGGCTGCTGTCCAAGGTGCTGAGCAGGCCCAGGCCCAGGGTGAGCCTAGCCACCCCCTTCTGCCACGGCCTAGGTTGTCCCCAGGAGTCCTGCTGGGCCATCCCTGGGGCCTCAGCTAGCACCCGGGCCCTTCCTACCCTGGCTCAGCCTGGCTCAGGTCATCCCAGGGGCTTTATGGGTAGACTCAGGGCCCAAATGAAGGGGAGGAACATGTCTAGGCACCTCTCAGGCTGAGCTGGGCCAAGAGGTGGCTGGTGTGGCCCTTTCTTCCACCCTAGACCATCCTCCAGATCTCCATCACCAGCACTGCAGCCAGCTTTCTTGCCCCCATGGTTGACATCATCCTCATTATACAGATAGAGGGGTCAAGGACCAGACTGGGGCAGGGAGCTGCCAAGGTCACGCCATGAACCTGGAGGCTGCTGCCTGCCTCCCCTCAGGACCGAGTGTTCTCAGTGAGCCCCTCTGGAGTCACAGATAAGAGGAGACCATCGCTGACCCTGCCCCACGCTGGGGGCTGCTGGCCTGACTGCCCTGCCAGGCTGACAGCGGCCTGAGGGCGGAGGCACCTCATCAGCTGGGTGGGGGGAGGGAGGCCCTGGGGATCAGGTTAATGGAGCAGGAGCTTGAAACCGGAGCATGGTGAAGAGCCCGCGAAATAGCTTTGTCAGCTGCCTCCCACTCGCCACTTTCCAATTTTAGCTTCCTATGGCCGGTGCGGGGTGTCCCCAGCAAGGCCTCTGAGAGGAGCTGGCCACCAGCCGGGGCCTCTCCTGATAGACCCCCGGCCCTGGGCTGGCTGGTGGCCACAGGGGTGCCCTCTTTCCCCTGGTCCTGACGGCCTCAGGTACAGTTGGGGTAAAGCCCACTTTAGGGCCTGTGACCTGGGATGAGGGGTCTGGGGTGTGCCCTACAGGTCTCAAGGGCCCCAGAGTAGCTGCATTCCCAGCTAGCACTGACCTTGAGGAGGCTGCGAGGGACCCTGGCACACTGCCCACCTCAGGGCTCCGGGGTCCTGCGTCCAACCGTACGTCTGTGAGACTGGCTGAGCTCTGGGGCCACGGTGGGGTGTGTCCAGCCTTGGGGTCCCCACCCCCTCGAGGCTATGAGCGGTGAGTGGTGACAGCAGGAGGAGGAGGGAGAAGAGGAGGTGGCCTTCCTGGAGCAGAGCTGAGCGGAGTGGAGCGGAGCCGAGTGCTGCAGAGCTGCTGGCCGCAGGGAGCCGCAGGGAGGATCCTGGTGGGGGGGGGGGGTGGGGGGGGGGGGGTGAGGGGGTGGCCAGTAGCACAGGCTCAAACAGGGACACTTGGACCTCACTTCAGCCTGCCTCTTCGTCTTTGGCCCCCAGAGAGCCTGTGCCTCCCTCTCACTGCCAGCCAGGACTGCCTTCTTCCAGGAAGCCTTCCTGCTGGCCCTGCAAGCCTCTCCAGGTTTGTAAGCCCTGCCCCACCACAGTCACACACACACACACATGTTCATGTCTCAGCTTCATGGACCCCAGCCCACACCTTTACATGTGACCTCTCAAGGGCTGTCCTCAGGCAGACCCCTCTAACCCTCTGCCCTTGTCCTTTTCATTATGCCAAGAGTGCCAGGTAGCCAGACATGGGTGCCTAAGGGAGGACTGACTTGCCAAATGCGATTGCAGCTGGCATGGAAATTATGTCTGAGAGGGGCCCCCAGACCCTAGCCCTCTCCAATAAGGTGTTGTCTGGATGGAGGGGTGCTAGCAGGGTCACTTGACAAGGCTTGAGTGGGTATTTGGGGTGGCCGTTGTCCTCTCAATGGTAGAGTAGAGGCAGATAGGAAGACAAGATTGTCTACAGCTAAATGGGATTCCAGAGTGGGGCAGGACTCTCATTCTGGAAAGGGGCTACCTGATGGGGAGGGCTGTCCTGAAGCCGCTCCATCCCTGAGAGGTTAGGAACCTCTGGTAGTCTGACAGAATGAAGCCCCAAAGTCTGGGGAGCTGATGTGTCTGTGCTGTGTCTACGGAGACCTGTTCATGTATGTGCTTTGGGGTTGTATGGGGACTAGAAGGGGCTTTGTGAGTCCCTGCTCATCCCTTGAACTCAGCCTCAGGCTCAGCTGAGGAGGGGGAGGAAGGTGCTGCTCCCATCCACTAGGGGCCCTTCCAGGGCCTCTGCTAGGCTTGGCAAGGGGAAAGAGATTGCAATTGGGCACTTGGGCAGGAAGCTCCCTCCCAAGCATGCTGGCCTAGAGGAAGCAGTAAGAAGACCCCAACACACATCTCACAGAGGACACAGAGACCCTTGCCAGTGGTCCCTGACCCTGAGAAGCATGAATGGTGACCACTACACCGTGTAGGGGCTGAGTTAGGGCTGTGGTTAGGATTCAGGGCATGCGAGGAGGCCAGTGTCAGGGAAGGAAGGACACCTGAGCCAGACTTTGAGGGTTAAGGAGAGCTGCCTGGGGGAGGTGGAGTTAATGGTTGTTAAAGGACAAGTAAGTGAATCATAGTAGTCAGGATGTACATGGATTCGCTTTTCTTTTTTTGAGTCGGCGTCTCACTCTGTTAACAGGCTGGAGTGTAGTGGCACAATCACACCTCACCGAAGCCTCGACCTCTCAGGTTCAGATGATCCTCCCACCTCATCTAGTCCTGAGTAGCTAGGACTACAGGCGTGTGTGCCACCACGCCCAGTTTTTTTTTTTTTTTGGTAGCGATAAGGTCTTGCTATGCTGTTCAGGCTGCTCTAGAACTCCTGGTTTCAAGCAATCCTCTCACCTCAGCCTCCCAAAGTGCTGGGATTAACAGCATGAGCCACCGCACTTGGCAGGATTAACTTTTTAATGTCACCACAGTTTATAGAAAAGGCGTTGCCATTACCCCAATTAGGAGAAGAGGAAACTGAAACGCAAGGAGGTTAAGCAGTTGGGCCAGCCCCTTTAAGCTTCTGGAACTGATTGCCCTGGGGGGATGAGAGCCTCTGCTCACTCACAACGGAGGTGGCTGAGGCCAGCTGGGGCCGGCAGTCCACCTGGTATGTTCACAAGGCTTACAGGGAAAGGCTCAAGGATGCAGACAGGGTGGTTTGGCTCCAGGATTAGGAACACAGGTTCAATCAACTGAATTCGGCCTGAGCTGGCAGGATCCCCTTCTCTGGGCCTCATTTCCTCATTTGTAAAGTGGGCACACTGCTGGCCCTGGCCTCACTGGATTCTTGGGGAGATCTGGCAACTCACTCCATGACAAGGACTCACTGATTTGCTCATAAAGATAGTGTTAGAGAGCCACAGACCCTGGATTCCAGTGGCCCAGAGAGACAGAACTCACACAGCAGTGAGATAGTTTCCGGGTGACTCCCCTCGACACCCCTGCAGGGAGTGTGGCATGTGGGGATGGCAAGAGGGCTGGAGGCTAGGGAGGCCCCTTGGATGTGGGGCTGGACAGTCCCAGGCCAGCTCTACCCTGTGTGAGGGGTGGTAGGAGGGGAGGGGGCCTGGTGTGGCTGGCCCCCAAAGCGAGGGGCAAAAAGCTGACTGGGCTGAGACCAGCACATGGCCCTGGGTCAGCTTTCTAAATGCCACGGGGCCACGAGGAGGACGTGGTGGGGAGGGGGTCCATTCTGTCAAGCCTCAGAGTCCCTTTTCAATTCTCAAACCTAAAATTTTGTGTTTGTTTGTTCCTCTAAGTAAAAATGTGGGGAAAGAATGCTTCCTCTGTGTGTGTGTGTACGCATGCAGTTGTGTTTTGTATCAGTTGTATGTGGAGTCTTCTTGCATGTGTTTTGGGCTGTGTTGTTCATGGCATGTTTCTTGTGTGTTTGTGTGTGTATAGCTGTGTGTACTGCCTGTGCATGCACGTGTGTGTTATTTATGTGGTGTGATGTGTGAATTGTGTGTTTATGTGTATTGTGTATACACACAAGGCTCGGAAGACAGCAGAGGGTGCGTGCAAAGGCACACTTGTGGAGAGGGGCAGCAGGCAGGGACTTTGTGCTAAAGGCTGGATGGGGGTTGATTGTGGTGGGGAGGAGAAGCTGGCTCTGGTCACTGGATGTGGGAGGCCCACAGGAGCACCCTCCCCAAGAGGCCACCCTGCCCTGGGCTCCTGGAAGCGGAGGAAAGGCCTTGCAGCAATGGAATATGTCTGATTCAGTCTGAGCCAGGCTGCAACCTTGCCCGGCTCAGCTGCGGGGCCCCAGAGGTCCTCAAGGGGACAGTGAACAGTGACGAAACCACACCCACAGCTCAACCAGGTCTCACCTGTCAAGGCTGGAACCTGAGCACCCAGACCCACAGCACCGGCCTGGGATGCAGCCAGGGAGAGTCCTCCCATGAGGTTATCCCACCACCCGCCTCCTCACCTTCCCCTGCCCTTCAGCCCTCCAGGGTCCCTGCACCCTCCCCCCTGCTGCTGCCCTGTGGCTCTGGGCAGGGACCTTGGTGTTCTCATCCAGCCCACTTGCCTGAAGGATGGGGAGGTCATCCTCAGGGTCCCAAGGATGGGTGGTTCTTCCCAGGGGAGCCATCAACACTGGACAGACCAGGCTGCCCTACTCCTTACCTGGCCCGCCAGGGCTAGATCCCTCAGGGGCCCAGTCCTTGGCCCCCTTGACAATTCCTCCTTCCCTTTACAACTCTTCCCCCTGCCCCCCCACACCTGTCCCTTGCCCCTCCCTGCCCCTTTACCTCAGGGAGATGTGAAGGACCATGGCTCCTGACAGCCCCCTCTACCCACATATGGTCAAGGAGCCCGGGGGCCGAAGCAGGGATGGGGCATGTCTGCTTCTGTGCCCTTCCCCCCACCCCTGCCCATCAAGGCCCTCTGTTTCCCACACCTCTCTGACTGGACCAGGTACTCCCTGAAAGAAGGAAGCAAGTCAGAGTCACCTCCCGGCTCCTCCCAGGCCTGGAGAGGCTGACATGAAGTTGGCACTCGCTGACCACCTGACGGACAATTGTCTCTCCCCAGTTGTCCTAGGAGTTCCTGAAGATCAGGGACTGTGTTCCACTCGCCCTGACACCTCTGTGCCTAGGGCAGAGGAGTTGCTCACCAAGCATTGGTTGAATGACTAGAGGGAAAACTAAGGGCTAACATTTATTGAGCGCTTACTGTGTGCAAGAAGCTGCTCTAAGTACTTGACATTTTTTATCTCGGTGAAACCCACAGAGGGTTCTAAAGAGGGAATGAAGCAGATCTGTTCTACCTAAGTTGGGGAAACCCTGGTACCCAGCACCACAGCAAAGCTCTCAAGGTTGCCAGTAGACTCTAAATTGAAACACTCATTTTTATGCCCATAGTCGGCCGAAGTAAAATGCCAACTTATCAGTTTACCCGGAAATGTGCAAACAAGATCTACTGTGCCCAACTGTACGTAGCTTTTCTCCCCCTTTCTTATGTAAATCTTGTTTCTATCATTGTGGGATGAAATCAGTCCATGGATACATGTATCTTGTATAGACATAAACAGTGAGCCGATAATCAGCTAAATGTCTTTGGGTTATTCTTTGACACCTACAACAGCTCTTGGAGGGAAGTTTCTATTATTGTCCTCATTTTAAGGATGGTAATGTGAAGGCTCAGAGAGGTTAAATAACTTGCTCAAGGCCACACAGCTGGTAAGTGGGGAATGAAATCTGTCCCAGGGATCCCCACTGCTTAGACTCCATGACCTGGTGCGCCTTCATCTCTCAGCCCCAGTCCTGAGCCAGGAAGGGCAGCAGAACCGCCCTGGAATGGTCGGGGAGGGGGTCACGCCACCCCCGCACTTCCCTGAGGTGACCTTTAGGAAAGATGACTGGTCCCATGCCTGCTTCTCACTCCCAGGAACTCCACTGAGGCCAGCGCCTGCTCCCACACACACTCAGCTCTTCCCCTGGGGCTCCCTGGTGCCGGCAGGAGAAGGTGCTACTCGGCCTGGCATTCAGACTCTGTGTTTGGCCCATTCCTCGCCTTCACACACAGTCCCCTCCCAGCACAGGCCGTCTTGCTTCTGGCTCTCTGGCTACTTCCCTTCCACGAGGAACCAGAGAAAAGCTCTTCCTTCCCAGAGGCTGTTGGGAGCCCATCAGAATCACTTTATCCTAACGGCCTTCGCCCTACCTTGCTGTGGGAGCTCTAGACCTGTGTACCCATGCAGGGCTGGTGGCTCCCTGAGTGAGGGTGAGGAGCAGAGCCGGCACCAGGTCCCTGCATAGGCCCCATTTCCTGAGGAAGGGACTGGGCAGAAAGGGTCCCAGGAGCCCAGGTGGCTTTTCCTGGGGGGGGGGGGTGTTTTCACAGTATATGCACCTGCATTTGTGTGTCACTGCACAAGTAACACACAAGTGGCTGTATCTTCACAACTGGGAATATGTGTCTGCATACATGCATGCTCATTGTGCCAGTATGTGCGTCTACATGTGTGTACACATGGAGTGCCTGTGTGTGTATACAGTTGCATGCTCTGGGATCTAGGTGTTTGTGTACATCTGAATCTTTGTGTGGGCCGGTGTCTGCACATGTGTGGCCAGGGTGTCTGGGGTTGGGGTGTGCGGCTATGGGTGACCCTCCTTGGGGCCACCCCTCCCTATGGCTCTAACTACAGCCGAGAAGGGGGAGATACTGTCACAGTCACAAGGAGGCTTGAGGGCTCCTGGGGTCCCCCTGCAGCAGCCCTCTCAGCTCAACATGGTGAGGGGAGTACCTCGTACCTTCACCTGCACCCACTTCCTCAAAATCCTTCTGCCCAAGCTCCACCAGTGCCCACCAAAGCTGATGGGTGCAGGTAGAAGTGCCTCTTGGAACAGTTGGCTGGCTGGAGCTATCCAGCACTGGGTAGGCAGTAGCCTGCCCTGGGTAATCTGCTCAATGGGAGGATCTCGAATTTGGGGTCAGGCAGACCCGAGTTAAATATCAGCTCAGCCTCTTTCTGTGAGTCTCAGTTTCTTCATCTGTAAAATGGGGCAACAGTCCCTGGGTTCTTAGAGGACCAGATGGAGTCAGGTTTCCCCAGTAGATGCTCACTCACTGGGAGCTACGGTGATAATGAAAATACTCAATATTATTATGAGTCCGAGGTCTGCATCTGAGGAAGAGCCCTGAAGAGCAGACAGACAAGGTGGCTCAGGGCGTGGTGCCCTGAGGCTGTGGAGGGTGAGGAAAGTCACAGCGGGAGCTGGGGCAGAGGTGAGGGGGATGCCCTGGTGAGGGGCAGGGTGGGGCGGAGTGGCATGGGGGATGTGCCCAGCCCGGGCATGGAGGGCTCTCCTGTGTGTGGAACTGTGCCGACATGCAGGAGCTCCCAGCTAGGCCCTAGGATGTGCCCGAGGGACTGGCTGCCTCTGTCTGCTCACAGTTGCCCTGCTGTCCCAGAATTCTCGCCCATGCCAGTGGCCTGCTGGGCCTCCTTTCTGCTGGCCATGCCTGCCAGGGGCTCCTGCAGTGCTCCATCGCAGCTTTTCCTTTGCCTGCCCTGGCCTGGGACATTGGCTTTTGTCATCCTCAAGGAGCCTCTTCTGGAGAAGTGGCCGAGTTGGCTGCCCTGGGCTGTCTTCCTGGAGCAGATGGAGTTATCACACAGAGCCTCTTCCTCTCAAGACCTGAAGCTGCCCCGCCCGGCCGATTGCTTGTCCACCTTCTGTTGCCGCAGGGCCTGCAGGAAGACCCCCTTCACCTGGCCCAGGGTCTCGTGGTATATCCGGAAGTCTTCCTCCTTTCCCCGCAGGGCACTGTCCAAGGCAGTCTTTAGCATTTCATTCTCCTCCACCTGAATGGCCAGCCTGGACCACAGGAGACAGGACTAGGTGTGGTTGAGCTGGCACACATGTGTGTGGGGTACAGAGAGCCCTGGAATGAGACTGCCAGTGTGGCTGCACTTCGCTCAGGGCTCTCCCTCCCACAGACCCTTGGGGCAATACCATGCAGGATTCCTCTCTGGCCCACCCACAGCCCTGGGCCTGGCACCCAGTGATGAGTACTAATTTGCAGACATTCCCTACTTCCTTTCCCATGGCTGCATTTGCTCTTGAAAGGATTAACTGGGTGAGAAAAGTGAGTTCAGCAACTCACACTTGATAACATTCCTCCTGGGACTACCGGCCATCAACATCAAGGCTGGGCCCCTCTGCCCTCTGAAGGCCAGGCCCTGAATTGCAGGTCTAGAACCCAGGACTGAGCAGGGCCAGCCTTGTGGGCAAACTGAAGTCAGAGGCATACAGGGAGGGACATGGCCCCTCTGCCCATCAAGGTGCCTCCCTCAGACAACTCTACCCTTTCAGGAAGGTGGGGAAGGGGAGAACCTGGTGGTCAGTTCCTCCATCTGGGACTCCACAGGCACATCGGAGAGCTGGGCAAAGGATGGGTCCTTCTTCTCGTTTGTGGTCGGGTTGTGCTTGGGGTTAGAGGTAGGCAGACCTGTGGGGCAGTAGCAGCCACTTTCTGTGATGAGGCCATAGCCCTGAGCTAACACCCTCCTTCTCCATCCCCACTGCCCACCGCCTGCTCTTGCATTTGGTGAAACGTTATACCTCCGTGAGGGTGCAGGGCGAGGGCGCCTTCCTCCAGACACCCTCCCTGATGCCTCTGCAGTCTTCTCGCCCTGGCTCTGGTTTCTGCTACAGCCCTGACTCTGCTTTGCACTAAGGTGGCTCCTCACTGCCTACATCTTTGAACTTGACACGTTTCTGGTCATTTGTTTCTAACAAGAGAAGCCAGCTGGCCCGGCGGTCTGGCCTGCAGGCTGAACCTGAGTCTAGGATGTCACTGCATCTGATGTCCTCATACCACCGGGTCCCACTCGTCCCCATTCAGGCCAGCAACTCCATACCAGGAAGCAGGGTGGCTGGGTCAGGGGCTACAGAAGGCTCAGAAAAAGGACAAAGTCCAGCTTGTGGGGAATGTGGGCAAAATAATGGCATCCGGAAACCGCTGTGCTGAAAAGGCCCTCAGGGTGGTATGGCATCAGCAGACTTGGCTTTCACCCCTGCTGTGAAGCCTCAGGTAAACCATCAGCCTCTCTGAGCTGGTTTCCTCATCTGAAAAAGGACGATAATCCCTTTTGCCTCTAGAGCTTCATCAGGCCTCAATGAATTCACATTTGGCTCCCAAGTCCCTGTGAGACCGCTGCATCTCCTTAGCACCCCAAGCCTTCTGTGACCCTGCCTCTTACTGCCCCTCCCCCAAGTCCAGCTTCACTGCTCCCTGTGGTTCCTCCAGTCTCCAGCTGGGCCTCCACCGCAGCATCTCTGCCCCTGCTCTGCCCACGGCATCTGCATTCTCAGACCCTACCCTTCTTCCCTCTCTGTACAGATGTCTGTCTTCCCACTGGAGCAGAACCGCCATGGGCGACTGAATGGCAGAATCTAGTCTCCTTATTTTACAGATTTGTCGGGGGGAGATGGGGAGTTGGAGAGGTGGGGGCATGCTCCCCAGAGGAGCGGTACTTTGCCCATGTCACAGGCCAGCAGGTGGCAGAGGCCACACAGACACTTTCTCTCAGGCAGTTGCCCCTCACTGCCAGGACCAAGTGACTTTCCTGCTGTGGCACAGCTCTCCCTGGCTGCCAGAGGGTTGCGGGCTGGGGTGGGGGTGGCAGGAGGTGGTGACTGATGGCATTTAGCAAAGGCCCTGACACCTCATACTGAGGGCTCTCAGGGGCTGAGGGAATGCTGGGCTCCTGGTTCTGCCTGGGAGGCCAGGGGTAGAGGACACCCAGCAGTAGAGGCAGGGAGACCTCTGCCCTGATGGAGGCTCTGCAGCCCACACTCTCTCTGATGGACTGAACACGAACAGTACAGCTGGCAGGCTCCTCCACCAGCAGTAAGGCTGTTCCCTGCCCTGGCACTGGAACCCCTGCCTGGGTCCCTACCTGTTGTGTTCCTGAGGGCTGCTCTCTGTGAGGCCGGCGTCCTCCCAGGCTCCAGGCGCATTTTCTCCAGATGTTGCTCCAGCACCACGGCACGATGTCGCTCCTCCTGCAGCTTCCTCTCTGACTCCAGAAGCTTGTTGTTGCTTTCCTCCACCCTGGAGATTAGAGAGGAGGGGATGCCACACCACCGGCAGGCACCAGCAGCCCCCACACCCCCCTGCTCCGGCTCTCAGAGAGGTGGGTGCATCTTACATTGGTGGTAGTGGGACTTTGTTCTTTATTTTCATTGCAGTCACATGGAAATATGGATTTAAAAATCATATAGTTCTCTCCAAGGTTAAAATTGAAAAATTAGCAGCCCTTTCTCAGCTCCTTCACCCAATTCCTGCTCTCCAGAAGCAACCGCTTGTAACACTTTTAGTGTTTCTTTTAATATTTACTGCCATATTTCTACAGACGCTTATGCTGCTATTTTTTTAAAGGTTTAAATATAATCTTTCAACTTCCTGTCATGTGAAATGAGAATTTAGTTTTATTTTAGTATTCTGCATCTACCAAACAGAATCACCTCTACACTTTTTTGGTTGAATTGATATGAGGTGGCGTATCCATTTTCTATTGCACCTGTAGCAAACAACCACAAATTTAGCAGCTTAAAACAACACAAACCTGTGATCTCACAGTTCTGTAATTCAGAGGTCTGGTAGGCTCAGGTGGTTTCTCTGCTCCAGGTTCCACAAGCTGAAATCAAGGTGTTGGCTGGCCTGGTCTCTTATCTGGAGGTTCTGGGGGAGAATCTGCTTCCAGGCCCTTTCAGGGTACTGGCAGATTCCAGTTCTAGGTAGTTGAAGGACTGAGGTCCCTATTTATTGCTGGCTGATGGTCAATTTCAGCTTCTAGAAGCCACTTTGCCTCTTCCATTTTCAAAGCCAGCTGGATGCCCTTACATCACTTGAATCTCTCTGACCTCTCTGATTTTTTCCACAGCATCTCTCTGAATGACCCCAGATGGAGAAATTTCTCTGCATTCAAGGGCTCAAGTGATTAGATTGGACCCACCCAATAATCCAGGATAATGTTCCTATTTTTAGGGTCCATAACAATAATTACATCCACAAAATCCCTTTTTCCATGTAACATAAAGCATTCACAGACATAACAGCAGAGAGTAAAGGGCATGGGCGCCAAAATCTTGTCTACCACAGGGGAGCACATTCAGACAATTGCTCAGAGTCAAGACATGTAGTACATTAACTATCACATTTCCTTTCTTATTTTTTTCTTAGAGTTAGTGATTGTCTTACACTTATTGTTTTGTTTTCTATATGCCTATCATAACTTCATGGGCCTTGAAGAGCTTGTTATGTGGTTCTTTCACATGAAGGATTTGCTTAATCTCACTGGGGCTTAGGTTTGGGTCCTCCCTGTGGTTCAGTATGCCAGTTCAGACTTCTGTGATACTAAGGGCTCAGCTAGAAGGCCAGGAGTCCCTGAGATCTAATACAAGCAAAGGGTTACATGTGAACCTGCAAGTCACAGTGACAGCTTTGAAATTGGTGGTATTGAAGGAAATAGTCTTTCTACCTTGGTGAAGGGTCAAAAGGAACAGAATGGCAACAATTTTGAACAGTATACACAAACTACAGCAACTAACAACATATTTGGGCATGCTCTTTGAAAACTTATTTGTAAAAGCAAAAACCCCAAGCAACTTAAAGGCCCACCAACAGGAGAAAGACAATTAAGTGGTAGTACATTCAAACTATGGAATATGACAGAATATGACAGGTTGGTGCTGTCCAACATGGTGGCTGCACGCTGCATGTCCACATGTAGCTATTCAAAGTTCATGAAAAGTAAATAAAATAAAAAATTCAGTTCCTCAGTCACACTAACTACATTTCAAATTCTTAAAAGTCACGTTTGGCTAGTGGCTACTGCATCGGTCAGCACAGATCTAGAACATCTCCATCATCACAGAAAGATCTGCCAGATAGTAGTGAAGTGGATTCGTTAACATGGGAGTGGGGTCCTGAGAAAAAGGATGAGTTTACCCCCCTCTCTCCAAGTTCTCGTGCCCTTATGCCTTCCATCTGGGGATGATGCTGCAAGAAGACCCTCATCAGGTGGTAGTACCTTGATATTGAACTTTCTAGCCTCCAGAGCTATAAGACATACACTTCTTTTATTTATAAATTAGTCTATAGTATTGTTATAGCAACACAAGATGGACTAAGACATAGCCTTAGACACAACTGGGAAACACACCTGAACTCCAGAATAAGGAGAAAAATCTTATAACAACAACACAGCTAACACTTTTTTGGATTACTTTCCATATAACAAGTACTCAAATTAAGGTACTGTGTACACTTTTAATTCTTTAAGCAACCAAAAGGATGTACTAATGTTACTTTAAGAAGACACAGAAAATCTAAACTTTAAAAAAGATTGTCAAAGATCTACTTCCGGAAAAACATCAGGCCAAGACAGCTTCCCAAGAAAGTTCTATCTTACTTATCTCCACGGAAATGGTCATTCTTGTTATTCTGACAATTCCATAACCTAGGAAAAACAGACAGCTTCCCATAAATATATATCAAATTTTATTTCACAGTTAATGATAGGGTAAATGTATTAGTACTGCTGCATAGCAAATTACCTCAAACAATGTCTTAAAACAATACAAAATATCCAGAAAATATAAAGAACCCCTACAATTCAACAACCCAATAAAAGACAGACAACCCAATAAAAAAACAGGCAAAAGACTTGTATATCTCCAAAAAAGATCTACAAATGGCCAGTGAGCATATGAAAAGATACTCAACACCAATAATTATCAGGGAAATGCAAATCTAGACCACTTCAAGCCTACTAGAATGGCTATAACTGGGGGAAAAAAGAAAAATAACAAATGTTGGTGAGGACGTGGAGAAATTAGAACTCTTGTACACTGCTGGTGGGATTAAATAATGGTGCAGCCACTGTGAAGTACAGTTTGGCAGCTCCTCAAAAAAGCTAACCATAGCCGGGCTCAGTGGCTCAGCCTGTAATCCCGCGCCTTTGGGAGGCTGAGGTGAGTGGATTGCCTGAGCCCGCGGGTTCGAGACCCGCCTGGGCAGCGAGACCTCATCTCTACAATAAATCAAAAAATCAGTCGAGCGTGGTAGCGCATGCCTGTAATTCTGGCTACTCAGAAGGCTGAGGCGGAAGGATTGCTGGAGACCAGCAGGCGAGGCTGCAGTGGCCGCTCCCGCACAGTCTGGGCGACCGAGTGAGACTCCAACTCAAAAAAAAAAAAAAAAAAAAAAGGCTAACTATGAAATTACACAATGGCAATATACTATACCCATGGGTGTATACCTAGGCATATAAATGAAAAAAATGAAAACAGGGACTTAAACAGTTATTTGTACAATGATGCTCATAATAATAATATTCACAAAAGTCAAAAAGTAGAAACAACTCAAGTGTCAATCAACAGATGAATGGATAAGCAAACACACACAAATATCATTAGGCCACAAAAAGGAATTAAGTGCTGACATATACTACAACATGATTAACCTTGAAAACGTTATGCTAGGTAAAATGAGCCAGGCACAAAAGGCTAAATATTGTATGACTCCACTTACACAAAATATTTAGAATAGGCAGATTCTTAGAAAAAGAAAGTAGACTATAGGTCACCCAAGGCTGGGTGTGGAGGTAGGGTATGGGGAGTTATTGGCTAATGGTTACAGAGCTTTTGTTTGGGGTTATGAAAACATTTGGAAATAGTGATAATGGTTGCACAGTATTGTGAAAATAATTAATGCCACAGAATTATACACTTTTAACAGTTAAAATGACACATTTTTGGTGTACATGCTTTACCACAATTAAAACACTACCCTCTGCCAAATTTATTATCTCACAGTTTCTGCAGTTTAGAAGTTCAGGGTGGCTTAGTTAGATTCGCTGCTCAGGGTTTTACATGGCTGACATCAAGGAGTCAGAAGGGGCTGCTATCTCACCTGTGGCATGGGATCCTCTTCCAAGCTCACTCAGGTGGCCAGCAGAATTTAGTTCCCTATGATTGCAGGACTTGGGTCCCTCATTTCTTGCTGGCTATTGACTGGGGATGGTTGTTGGCTCCAAGAGCCCACTGACCACTCACTGCCATGTTGTTCTCTCTATGGCATGGCAGTTTGCAGGAGAAGGTGTTCAAGAACAGTAGAAGAATGTCTCTGCTGCTTCCCCTCTCTGGATTCCTCTGTCTCTGACCTCTAGACTCTGACTTAAAGGACTCGTGATTAGATCTGGACTCCTAGAGAGTCTCCCTTTTGATTGACTCAAAGACATCTGATTAGTAACCTTAGCAAAATCTGCAAAATTCCCTTTGCCACGTGTGTTAACATAATTATGAAAATGATATTCCACCATATTCATAGGTTCTTCCCACATTCAAGGGAAGGGCATATAGATAAAGCATGTATATAAGGCATGTACACCACGGTGTGGAAATGTTACAGTAAAAATAGAAGAGAAAAGAAAGAAAATAAAATCTGATGGTATTGTTAGAGAATAACACAACCTAATTCTAGGAACACTAGAGCTGTAAGATTCAATATCAGAATTAGGTTGAAGGAGAAAAAAATGTAATCCTTTCAAGAGATGCTGAAGAAGCATTGTAAGATCATTAGCTGTTATTGATTTTAAAAATTCAAAGTAAAATGAGAATAGATGGAAACATCTTAACACAATGAAGCATTTTAAAATTAGAAACTAATAACCCATTAATAGAGGAATGGTAAACAAATCATGGTGGATTCACACAAGAAGATACTTTGTAATCATAAAAGGAATATGTACTGATATGAAGAGAATGTGATATATTAGTAAGTGAATTAAGTAGCAGATTATGCATAATATATGATCTAATTTAAACATTTATAATAAATTTTTAAAAATAAACAAACAAATAAATATAAGACTAGTATAATTCAGGCAATGAACTGAAAACAAAAAGAAATATGCAGTAGTCATTGACCCATCTGTGTGGGAGGGGCTTTCACTTTTCTGTTATGAATTTTGGTAATATTTGCATAATGTATTTCATCATAATAAGAAAAATGATAAACTATCAGCAAACATCATATAAAATGGTAAA